ATGAGAGTTTGGAGGGAGGCTTTTTGAAGCGTTTTCCCACAGATGGCGCCAATTGATGATGCGCAATCCGGCTGGTCTTAGCTGTCAACGACCTTGCCTCTGAACTAAGTAGTAGGGAACTTGAAACGGAGGAGATGAGTAAGCTCCGGGGGGAACCCGGTGTAAAGGCTCCGAAACTCAAGTTAGAATCCTTCAAAGGCAAGATAAAACCATATAGCGCAAAGTTTGCATACCTCCTCTTTGGGAGGGTGGAGAGCCTTTTATAACCACCTCGCGCACTCACTCCTAGATTTCTGTCTAGTCGGGAATGATTACTTCCGTGCTTCTGCCAGTTCGGGCGTCATTGCCTCTACTGGGGCAGAACCGTCACTGCTCTTTTTGTCAGAGCCGTCTCTGTAACTGGAAATGGCGGTGGCAGGTGACGGTGGCAGGTGGCCGTTGAAGTGCGGCCATTAAGCGTCAGATCCCAAGTCAGTCAGTTGCACCGCCCCTGGATACGGACTCCTTCGGTGTCAGATATGGTGTGGTTTGTCCAATTCAATGCTCTGGAGGTGGAGTGCTTGGAGCATTGTGCGAGGCGAAGTCTTGAGTTCGGATAGGGGGGGTGTCCCGAACTGCCATGAGACGGGCCAGTTCGGGTCACTGCTTTGCATGGCTCGGGGCCAAAGGGAGAGTTCGGGCTCCTCGTAGGGAGTTCGAGCTTTTAGTAGGGAGGTCGGGCTCCTTTTAGGGAGTTCGGGCCCCTTGTAGGGAGTTCGGGCTCCTCGTAGGGAGTTGGTCTCCTCGAGGGGAGTTCGGACTACTGGTCTCTTCCCTTTGGTGTTTGCACCCTGGGTATGCTGCTTTAAGTGCCGAGCTACTTGTTTTTTGCCACGTGGCGTGATTGCGAGGTCTTGCCAAATCTCCTTCATCATAAACCATATCCTTTTGTTGGTCAGACGGACAACACTTTCAAATGCGATGGTGAATTCTGGTGGTGGAAACGAAGGAGATGAGTATTCTGAGTCAAATCCGAAAGCAATCTTGCAAATGTTGTCAAGGAAAATCTCTAGAGGATATCTTATAAATTGATCACAGACTTCTCTACAATGACCATTGAGAGATTCTGGCTGTATAACTAGAAATGCAGTATTCGAATATGATATAACCGTTTCTGGTCACGTACCAATTTTTTGTGATGTATAATTTTTTTTTGGCTAAGTACCTCATTATTTGACCCGGTGGTGACGTGCTTTGGTGATGAGCTACTTGGTGGTGAACTCCCTGGTGGAGAACCACCTGGTGGCGAGCTCCCTGGTGGAGAGCTACTTGGTGACGAACCGCTTGGTGGCGAACTCCCTGGTGGCGAGCTCCCTAGTGGCGAACTGCCTGGTGGAGAGCTACTTGGTGGCGAATTCCTTGGGGGAGAACTACCTGGTGGCAAACTACCTGGTGGCGAACTCCCTGGTGGCGAACTGCCCGGTGGTGAACTACCTGGTGGCGAACTCCCTGGTGGTGAACTACCTGGGGGAGAATTGCCTAGTAGCGAACTGCCTGGTGACAAACTGCCTGGTGGCAAACTCCCCGGTGGCGAACTGCCTGGTGGCGAACT